ATTCATCTGTCTGTTTAGTGCAAGAGAAGGCAAGTCAGATATATAGTGGAGATAGAGTGTTCTAACACATATACACTCTCTCTCTCCCCTCCTCTGCACACAGACACCATATTTACTGTCAGTACCTGCATTCACTAGCTTCCCAACCGCCCGTCTCACCATCCACTGATCTGGGTCAACCATAATCACTGGACGACACAGTCCCGACCTAATTCTGGCCCCATTTGGTATGCACAACTTCTATTGTTAGTTTAAAACGTACACAATTGTAAGGGTATTAAGTTTTATCAGTATGGGTGGTTTATTGAGGGCATAAGCTATTTAGTCTGTACAGGGGAAGGTCTACGTTCGAATCCGCTTCTCTAGCGATCAAGAACGGTCGAACTAAGTGGGATCACACAGCCGATACTGATCTCTCTACAGCAGTGACTACTTTACAGACAACATTCTAGGTACTCGTAAACTATAATTAACTTACCCAAGCATATGTAAACCCTGAGACATTCCAGATTGCCTTGAAAAATGAAATTTATACAGGCATAGATTAACACGTCTGGACGCTGGAGACCGGCAAGAGAGAATAGCGTTACTTAGACACTTCAGGCGTTGGTAACAAAAGAAGTCCCTTGTATACTTGGGCAAGGAGTAAATCGGTTTCCAAGAAACCTCAAATAACTCCCTGAATATATATCGAAGAGATATACATTTAAAAGTGAGGGTTAAAGTAACCAGAAAAGGCAGACATAATAATGTTGTCCAATAAAGGCCTATATATATAGATAAAGGGGGACTATATATTTCCGGGCGAGTCCAAGTTTGAATTTTGTGCAGATTACAGGTAAGACAGGTTATCAGCCTTACAGACCGATGCGTAATGGCTATCATTTCACGACAGTAATTTGTTTTCAGTTGAATTGCCTTTATCCAGTATATATTTCTAGTAATCTTTAAATTTACCATTTCTTTTCCCTCTTACGTTTGTTCTTTCACCTGATTCTTTTGATTTATTTTAGTGAAGTATTATCTCTTGCTATGTGTGGAAACATGAATTTGTCAAATCGTGATGATCTCCTTCATTTAACCTACAGTTTTTTCCCGAACTGTCTAGAATTGTGTTATGTATTGTTTTGTTTACCCTTATTTTTTATCCTATTTATTTTTAAATCATTACTGAATGAAGGAAATTCGGTGGCTATTATTAGTGTTTGATTGTTGTTTGCTTAATATAAAGACACAAGAACATATTAAAATGACATCTGTATTACACATCTCAGAATAATTTATCTAGTGCAGTGGTTCCAAGCCTTCCTAATGCCGCGACCCTTTAATACAGTTCCTCATGTTGTGGCAATCTCCAACCATACAGTTATTTTCGTCGCTACATCATGTTGAATGTAGAAAAATAATCGACATCATAGCACTCGGAACACCTCCATAAGCGCCCCGTCCCCATCTTCAGCAACAAATGATTTCCAATTCCGATGGCACCAGTAACTGTCTTATTGTATATTCGTCTCGCTGTTCCCTTGAGTGCTGAGCATCGGCTATATCCCCTGGTAACTCCTCGCAGCGTCGTTTTCCTCAGACCATAATGATCTGTTTGTGCTTCCGCGCAGTTCACTCGCTCCCAGAGGGCACTAACAACGTCTAGCTTGTTATACATCAATTTACCATCAAGTGGTGTAGAACCGGACAGTCTATCTGCCTGTTAAATTCCAAACACACCGGCATCACCTGGAGAGAACATCCGAAGGATACTAACTACCCGGGATTTCGGAAGTGATGCTTGCCACTCTGCACGGAGCGTGGCTACTTCATAACGTTAATGAATACCAGTTCTGCTGTGGTCTTTGACGATCCCTTTGAAAAAATCCTTGGACCCCAAAAACGGTAGCGACCTATAAGTTGAGAACCACTAATCTAGTGAAAAAAAAATATATATATATATATATATATATATATATATATATATATATATATATATATATATATATATATATATATATATATGAGTGTGTTTGTGTGAGTGCGTGCGTGTGTGTGTGAAAGTTTACTAACTGCACCATAGTGGCCTATCACCCTTCTATACTAAAGACCAACGTAAAAAGAGACACGTTTCTGGGAATTCCGGCGTCTTAGGTATATAGGGCTGAAACTTTTTTATAGACGAAAAGACACTTGGTAGGTGATGTGGTCAACATCACGCCGGCCGCCGTTACTTCCCATGACTGGCACCCACTCAATTCTGGGCGAGATCAACATAAAGCAACACCTTGTACAATTAAGTGTGGCTACAGTACCCCATCGCTGTAATTGAGAAAGCTGTATAAGGAGGTCTAGTTGCGTGGATTCTTATCCTGGTATGGGGCGTCGCTGGTCGACCCAGCCTAAAATGGGTACCATGATGATTGTCATGGGGAAGTAAAGTCAGCCGGCGTAATGCTGACCACATTAAACACCTAGTGCCGAATGGTCTGAAAAAATGTGGTTACTCTGTTCACATTCCCGATGCGCCTAAAGGATAAATGGATCTTTACTTATTTTACTTTACTTGAAACAGTAAAGTGAGGGCACGGGTGCCTATTTTGATGAAGAAATGTTATAGTATATACTTGTTTGTCTATCAGCCAGGTGGTAGTGGGTTCGATTTCGATCTGAATCAGTTTTGAAAAATTGATTGACCTTTGAACACAGCTAGAGTAAAAGATGGTTGGTGTAATCTATCAGTAACAGTAGAAAAACAATTAATTCACAAACATTTGGGACTAGAATTCTTGAAGGAAAACACATCGTTAATTATTTACTTTTTTCTTCTTCTTATTCTTTGCTTTTTCATTTACTGCTTTGGGTCTCGAGGGAGATAAAGGTTCTGCTTCTTGCTATTCGACAGTGTGCAGCACCTAGACGCTCGCCTGTGGATCAGAAGGTCGTGGGTTCGGCTCCTAAAAGAGCCGAATATTTTTTTTTAATAACCTTGACTCTTAGGTCGACCTAGCCTTGACTGGTACACTCCTGGGAAGTAAAGGAAGCATGATGTTGGACACATCACCCACCGAGTGCCGAATGGTCTATCAAATATAGGTCTAGCCTTATGTGCCCCATGCGCCTCAAGAAGTGGAAAAAGGTCATTTGCTTGCTCTTCTGGTCGCCACTACACATTGTGCTGTTGTAGAGTTTCTGCATTGTTATCTCTCAATCTTGTTTTTGCTCTGCCTGGGGCTCTACATCCTTCTGCTCTTTTGTTGTATGCTCTGTATTGATTTACTACTATATGCACACACACAGGACAGTCACTAGAAGAACAAACAAAAACGATTATTGCTGTCAAACAAAGTGTACACATGAAACGATGCGTCCCCCTTTTGCAGTATCTGTGTCTTCAATGGAGTGGCCATATCAAGAACACAACTGGAGGCCGACTTGAACTTTCATTTGTTTTTACTAAAATTAGAGTACCATGAGAAAGCTAATTGTTAATTTTGCTTTATAGAACATTAAAATGTTTTGTATCTATAGAAATATGCTTAGTAACATTAAAGTAAGTAAGTAAACGACCCTTTTTCACGCCATAAGGAGTTTAGGGCAAAGAGAGCTAGACCTGTATTTTTATAGACCAATCGGCACAAGATTGCTGATGTGGTCAGCATCACGCCTGCCGCCATTACTTTCTAGGAATTCACCCGGTACCCACTCTAGGCTGGGTCTTCTTTGTGAGGAAATGTCATATTTGTTTTTTTTTTTAATATTCCGGCTCCGCCTTTTGCGCGAACCCACGACCTTCTGATCCGTAGGCGAGCGTCTAGCCGCTACACCGCGGCGACTCCCGACTAGCAATAATAATATTAATGTTAATAATTAGCACAATGTTAACAAAAAAAATAGAGAGCCTGCTCAGGGGTTTTGAGGGAAAATTTCTCAGAAGATTGTTAGGATTCACGTAGGAAGATAAAATTAGCAATTCTAGATTACAGCAAGTGACAAACTAACAATATGAACTTTAAGAAATGTATAGTAAGTAAAGTAAAGTTCCCATTTCACGCCTTTCGGCGCATCGGGCATATGGGCAGAGCGTCCCATATTTTCACAGACCATCAGCACTCTGTGGGTAATGTGATCAGCATTACGCCGGCTGTCTTTACTTTCCCAGGACAGCCCATCCTGGTACCCATTCTAGGCTGGGTCGACCTGCGACGTCCCATACCACGACCAAAATCCACGCAGCCTGCAGTGGGTTTCGATCTCGGTATGCTGGCTTACGAGTCGGACTTGCAACGCCTTAGCCACGGACGCCGCTTCAAGAAATGTATGGGCCGGCTATACTCAGGGCCCCCAGCAAAAGCCAGGGAGGGGCTTCAAAAAACGAAAAATTGCATCCCACATGGGGAAGATTCAGTTGACATTGTTCCCGCATAACAGACATGCAACAAAATGCACAGATTGAGTAGGGGACTGTTTATTGAATATAGTGTATGTATTTCTCTCACAGTTATTAAATCTATGTATCTGTCCCATAGTTATTGAATACGTGTATTTCTCCCACATTTATTGAATACGGGTATTTCTCCCACAGTTATTAAATGCGTGTATTTCTCCCACAGTTATCGAATATAAATATTCCTTCCACAGTTATTGAATACACGTACTTCTCCCACAGTTACTGAATACATTTATTTCTCTAACAGTTAATAAATAAAATTTTGTATTTCTCCCACAGTTATTGAATACATGTATTTCTCCCACAGTTATTGAATACATGTATTTTTACCACAGCTATAAATACATGTATTTCTCCCACAGTTATCGAAGTTAAGTCTCCCACAGTTATTAAGAATGTGTATTCCTCTCACAGTTTCTGGTTATATGTAATTCACCCACAGTTATTCAGCACGTGAATTTCTCCAACAATTATTGAACAGTTATTGAATACAAGTACCCCATCCCACAGTTATTGAATACAAGTACCTCACCACTGTTATTGAATATAAGTCTCTCTCCCACAGACGAGCAGTTAAAGCTGTGGTAGTGTTGGTGCCCTTGTTCGGTCTTCAGTTTTTCCTATTCGTTTACCAGCCTGAAGATGGTAGTGTCTTCACTGAAACTTTGGAGCTACTCAGGAAGATGTGTTCCAGCTTGCAGGTTTGTATGCCAGTGACTTTGTATGCTCGTAATGTGAACTATGCAGGCCCATATTTGTCGGTATATGTAAATACACATACGTACTTCCTATGTGAATACGTACGTACGTACGTACATACACACCTACCTACCTACCTACCTACCAACCTACCTACCTACCTACCTACCAACCCACCCACGCACGCACGCACGCACGCACACACATACACACACACACACATACACACATACATACATATACACACACACATACACATACACATACACACACAAACACACCTACACACCTACACACCTACCTACCTACCTACCTAACTACCTACCTACCTGCCTGCCTGCCTGCCTGCCTGTTACCTGCCTAGCTACCTACCTACCTACCTACCTACACACACACACACACAGACACACACAGAGACACACACACAGGCACACACACAGACACACACACAGACACACACACAAACACACACACACACACACAGACACACACACAGACACACACACAGACACACTCACAGACACACACACAGACACACACACAGACACACACACAGACACACACACAGACACACACACAGACACACACACAGACACACACACAGACACACACACAGACACACACACAGACACACACAGACACACACACACACAGACACACACACAGAGACACACACACACAGACACACACACACAGACACACACACACAGACACACACACACAGACACACACAGACACACACACAGACACACAGACACAGACACACACACAGACACACACACACAGACACACACACAGACACACACACACAGACACACACACACAGACACACACACACACAGACAGACACACACAGACACACACACAGACACACACACACAGACACACATACACAGACACACATACACAGACACACACACAGACACAGACACAGACACACACACACACAGACACACACACACACACACACAGACACACACACACACACAGACACACACACACAGACACACACACACAGAGACACACTCAGACACACACACACACACACAGACACACACACAGACACACAGACACACACACAGACACACACACAGACACACACACAGACACACACACACAGACACTCACACACACACACACACACACAGACACACAAACACAGACACACACACACAGACACACACACACACAGACACACACACAGACACACACACACAGACACACACACAGACACACACACACACAGACACACACACAGACACACAAACAGACACACACACACAGACACGCACACAGACACACACACACAGACACACACAGACACACACACAGACACACACACAGACACACACACAGACACACACAGAGACACACACACAGACACACACACAGACACACACACACAGACACACACACACAGAGACACACACACACAGACACACACACAGACACACACACAGACACACACAGACACACATACACACACATACACACACATACACGCATACATACATACATAGGCAGACACACACGCAGAGACGAGACAGACACACACGGACACACACACACATACAGATACACAGACAGACATACAGACAGACACAGAGACAGACACAGAGACACACAGACACACACACAGTCAGACACACAGACAGGCACACGGACAGACACAGAGACAAACAGACAGACACACAGAAAGATACAAGGACAGACAGACACACAGACAGACACACAGACAGACACACAGAAAGATACAAGGACAGACAAACACACAGACAGACACACAGACAGACACACAGATACACAGACAGACAGACACACAGACAGACACACAGACAGACACACACACACACAGAGACACACACAGAGACACACACAGACACACACACAGACACACACAGACACACACACAGACACACACACAGACACACACACACACAGAACACACATACGCACCACACACACACACCACACACCACAAACACACACACCACACACACACCATACACACACACACACACACACACACGCATATACCTACATGAAGCCGTTCCTGATTATTTTAAGTGTACCAAACAGTACGTATTCTAAACGAATTTTCCCATAAGAAATAAAAAGGGAAAGAATAATCCGTTCCCATTTTTTTTTTTTTTTTTAATTCTATTGTTATTTACATATTAAACATTTACGGAGTTTTAAAAATAATGTATGTACTTCTTAATGCTAAAATACATAAAGCAAAAGCCAGTAGATTTTAAAAAATGGAAATTAAACATTGCTTTACCTTTCTGAAAAGAGTCCAGTGCCCACTAGGATGCTACTGACAAGGGGAAAGTAGCAGATGGTTCTGTTTAGAAGGAGAGTCCCCTTTCAATAAAACTTCAGGAAACTAAAGTTCTGCTGTGTGTGTGTGTGTGTGTGTGTGTGTGTGTGTGTGTGTGTGTGTTGTTCTCTCTCTGTCTGTCTTTCTGTCTGTCTCTCTCTCTCTCTCTCTCTCTCTCTCTCTCTCTCTCTCTCTCTCTCTCTCTCTCTCTCTCTCTCTCTCTCTCTCTCTCTCTCTCTCTCTCTCTCTCTCTCTCTCTCTCTCTCTCCCTGTTTTCCCCACTACTTTGACCTGTTTGAGTATAATCAGGTTTGACTTTTACTGAAAATCTGCCAAAAGAA